CCCTGCCCTCGGAATAGTCATTTGAAAATGAGCCCTTTTGCAAAAATGGCATAAATAAATGGAATTTTGCAAAAACTATTTGACCGATCGAGCCCATCTTTTGCAAATCTCTTAAGGATATAAAAACTCACATTTTGGAAACGTTTGGTAAGATTTTATTGATTATTTAAAAAGTTATTAATAATTATAGAAAAAGTACTTTTTCTGTTTAATTTTGCAATAACTTTTTTGTTTATAAAGCAATTTTAACGTATAAAGTCTCATTTTAAAGATGAGTTTCTCTAGATTAAATCATCTGTTGATTTTTTTTGCTAAGATTAATAGTTTTTTTACAATAACGCGTAGAACGAAAAATGACGAATTTTTGATCTATTTGTTGACAAAAAACAATGACGCTATACTTTTTTCATGACCCATTTGATGAGATGCCTCCTGTATTATCATTCCCAAGATTTTCCAACAATAAAATAACGCCCAGTAATTAATAAATTTCAAAATGTTTCCTTTCCTGGTCTATTATAAGTATTTTCCAAATGTAAAGCTCTAACACAAGCTAAGGTTTTTACATAAAATAGTAGTATTGGCATATATCTGTCACAGCAAGCTGTGTAATTGTGATTTAATTTTGAAAAATGATCTGTTACATTTTTTTAAATTCCTACTTCAGAGAGCTCTATAGCAAATAGGCAACCAGCAATACATTTTTATAGATTTTATTACACATTTTGTCTAAATATGAATTATTGCACAAATAACAGACTTTCCCCCATTTTAACGCCGATTTTCTATAAAATTTATAATTTACGCTTGTTCAAAAGCGGCAAATTCCAAATTTCTTTACAACAAACAGTAATAATTTCAGTTTCAAACTAACTCCATTTATAGAAAATCTGCGTTAGAACAGAGGAAAGTCTGTTAGTTGTGCAATAATTAATATTTAGACAAACCGTGTAATAAACTCTATAAAAATGTATTGCTGGTTGCCTATTTACTATAGAGCCCTTTTAACATAGAGAGAAAACCTTGCGGACTTTGGATTGATTTCGTGTGTGTGTGTTTTAACAAGAATTATTTTTCTAAGAGAAAGTATATATCCCAGATGCGATGTACCAGGGCCTTTCGAAGACCTTGGACTATTACAGTCCCAGCAAACCGGTGCCACCGGCAGACGACGTCGCTGCTTCTTCCAATCAACTGGGCCCCCTCCCTTGGCAACAGCTTCTGGTGGTGCCCCCTCGGCAGGTTATCGTAGTGGAAAGAATGCAGTCCGGCGCTAGGAGACACGTTACTTTAGATTTCGGGAAGCCCGTGTTGCTAACCGACATCATCATACCGTCTTGTTCAGATCTAGTTACCGCCAGCATAGATATCTGGCTGAAAGGCGAGGACGTAGACGAGAAGAGGCTCGTTGTTGCCACGGACATCGGTACGCGGAATCTGCTTTTGACCGATCTTCAGCCGCCGCCGCTCTGCAGATATATAAAGGTAAACGATGTTTTTTTATACAGTTTAATAAAATTGTGTATCGGAGAGAAGATTTGATGCGTAATTTTCAGTAGCATTCTTTCGACAAGGGTTTTAGAAAATCTAAAGAAGATTTGATGCATAATTTTCAGTAGCATTCTTTTGACAAGGGTTTTAGAAAATCTAAACGCGTTAGAAACAATAACTCTTCACTGTACCAGTTATACAAACAAAATATTATGGAGTTTATTTTTTTATTATATAACTTCTTTTGACTTCCAGTTTTTTCGTCACAAAGTCAAAGACTAGTAATTTTTCAGGGGACAGAATCACCGTTTCCCTATACAGAGTGTATATACAGGTTCGGAAAGTCCCCATGATTCATCGGCCGTTACGTGAGAGCGATAAAGTAAGTCATAGAAATCCGTGATATAGACNTCGCACAAAAAGAGTATAATGCGTAAAAAACTGAGACACGAACGCTAAAATGACATTTACTTTGTTTTATTTTTTGTTTTCCAGGCATACATGATTAGTCAAAATATGTTAGTTGTCAATTAAGCGACCAGGCGCTAATAATGCGGTATTGACTGATATTTTCATGCTATTTCTATAAAACATGTTCCACAAAAGTATACTTTATATACATCATTGAATTCAGAATATAATTCTGCATAATAAATAAAAAATAAGCATATATTGCCATTTGAAAAAAAAAAGTTGACTATCGCTTTTCAAAATAAAATAATAATAAATACGTCCCAATAAGCTCACTCTATAGTGTATTTAGTGCCATTTAATATAATTTTTTTGTTTTTAAAATCAGATTATAAATGACTGAGTTATGGCTTGCAGCGTTTTTTAGGAAATGGGCTGTATAAGGATTAAATATAACAAAATTTTCCCCTGAATTTGATAGCAGCTTGTTTTATAAGTAAACATTTCCATCTGCAAAGTTGCAAAGTTCAAGCTCGGCTTTTATATACAGAGTGTTTCAAAAAAATCATTAAATGTGCAGAGTGGGCCAAATTTGTTACTTTTGGTGGGTTTCTCCTATTTCCCGAAGAGATAGGAAAAAAGTAGTTTCGCGAAAACCGCATCTCAGTACCTTGATTTGTTTATCATAAAAATGATTGAAAAATAAAAATATCAAACAATTCTTTCAATTTTTTCTTTAACAAGCTTTGTTTATTACTTTTGTTTTTAAGATGTAACATTTAATTTTGTTCACATATTAACCAAATGGTTTATTTATCTATTTATTATTTTTTTGTTCTTTTCAGCGGTGCGAGTAACATAAGCCCCCCTTGCGGAGAGAAATTTTCCTCGTCCATCTTAAATTCACTGTTCAACGTACTAGACTCCATAAACCATGTAAAGTCAGCTTCCGGACTCCAGTGGATCTTCGCACTGCTTTTAAAAGTCTCGACCAAGGATAAGGAAAAATTAATATCGACGAAGTGCATTTCCCTGTTGAGCAAAATATCAACCGAACTCGAGAAAAGAACGAATCCCTACCACCTGCTATTACGCGGACGATACGGATTGTACGGCACGCCATTAGAACCTGAATTGTTCGACATCGAACCACCGCCCTATGTGAGGGGAGGCGGTTCTTCTACCTACCTTCTCACGTCCAACCCGAACGCCGTCTCGGACCCGGCCGCTCAAAACGCGGAGTGTTTCACGAACTACTCCTTCAACAAAGAGAGCATTTGTCCTAAGGACGTTCTCTCGACTACAGAGCCTAAGCTGAAATACAAAAACGTCGCCTCTCAGAAAATAATAAGGGGCCTGATTGAAACGGAGCCCCTGCACTTCACCTGCGTGTTGGCCAGTGAAGGAACGAGAGTGGAACGCGCCGATTCCAACAGCAACGTGTCGCCCGTTAACAACGTCGTTCCCTTTGCTATCTCCCCCGGCCAAGCTCCGTCGACGAATAAGAAAGAAGACTTGCAGCAGCTGTTGCAGAACTACGTGGAGAAGCAGGTGAACGAGAAAGTGAAGGCCATCAATAACAGGCTGGAGTCCGGCAGCAGTTCTATGAGCGAGGCGGGATCTAGCAAGTGGCTAGTTCAGATGTTATCGGACTCGCAGCAGGTGATGGATAGGAAAATCGGTAAGGATATGTTTTTACCAGTGTTCGAATAATTTTTTTCGTAGTCCAGAGTTCAAGGTTTTGCTTTCTAAAATGTGTGGAAATTTATTTAATTTGTTAGTTTGTATATTTTAACAAGCTTTAAAAATAGTTTCGCTCGTTTTACCGTGGCAGAACAGATACATTATAGACCAAGAAATAAAGGTGAAAAATCATGGAGAACTCGTAAAAATTACTGGGCGTGATTTTATTGTTGGAAAGTCTTGGGAATGATAATACAAAAGGCGTCTCATCAAATGGGTCATGAAAAAAGTATAATGTCATTGTTATTTATCAACAAATAGATCAAAAATTCGTCATTTTTCGTTCTACGCATTGTAAAAAAACTATTAATCTTAGCAAAAAGTTCAATAGTCATAGATTTGACATAGAGAAACTCATCTTTAAAATGAGACTTTATAAGTTAAAATTGCTTTATAAACAAAAAAGTTATTGCAAAATTAAACGGAAAAGTGCTTTTTCTTTAATTGTTAATAACTTTTTAAAAAATTAATAAAATCTTACCAAACTTTTCCAAAATGTGAGTTTCTATATCCTTAAGAGATTTGTAAAAGATGGGCTCGATCGAACAAATAATTTTTGCGAACTTCCATTTATTTATCCCATTTTTACAAAAAAGGCCCATTTTCAAATGACTATTGCGGGGGCAGGGTTATGACTAAAACATTCTTTTTGGGCTCATTTTCTTCAAAGGGACACCAAGTATCCTCTAGTTAAAAAAAATTTTTTTTTTTTTTCAAATTTGTAAATAATTATTACCAAATAGAAGGCACTTTTTTCCCTAATAAACAAATAAAATAACTCCGCGGTTTTTAAGTTTTGAAAGAAGTTATATACACCATTCGAAAGCTCGTAAAAAAACCTACAAATTTAAAAAAAACAGCATTTTTTTTTTTTAATCAGAGCAGTCAATATTTTTATTTATTTTATAAAATTATTATTAATATATTTGTTTATAATTAGTATAAAAATATGTAAAATATTTCCATAGATACTGACAGTAGAATTTTTTTTTACAATTCATTATAAATTTCAACTTTAATTTGGGGGTTGAGGGGGTTAAATTAATTTTGAAGTATGAGTGAGTGAAGAGATTTAAACTACCAACTAAGATCAAAAGAGATAGAAATAGTAACTACAGTAGAGAAAAAAAACCTATACATTTTGTACTTATAGCTTAAAGCCCGTATCTGACAATACAATTTGGGTGCTGCGACAAAATTGCGGGGATTTTGTTGCATGGATAAAATCGCATGCTTTTTATCACACAATAGGAGAAAATTGCTGCATTTTGTTTAGTGAGTAGTAGTGTTTCTAACTGCGCATTTTGTTTAACATGTAAAATTTCTGAAAGTACCTTACGAATAAACTATTACTTTTGATTCAGGCGAAACATTGCAATGGATAAAAATTTTATTTTAAAATAAATTGCTGTATACAGGTTCGGAAAGTCCCCATGGTACATCGGCCGTTACGTGATGGCGGTTTTCCACTAAACGGACAGTTGAGTTTATGTCCTGTTTGTGTTTTCTAGAACCTGAAAAACAAAAACAAAACTGAAACAAACCCAAAACTCTTGTTTCCATCAAGCGGGCTACATTTTGTTCGAGTTTTGTTTTTGTTTTCAGTCCTTTTCCACTTGTTGTCGCGAAGAAGTCAGAACACATTTTTCCAATAACCAACCAACA